TCCACTAGTGACTTAGATGGGTGCCTCGTTATGCTGGTTTGTTTTGTTCTTGCCAATGTGCTTGCTGATTTGCTAACTAACACATGTATGGTGAAGTGTGGCTAGAAAGCAAACAGTTATAAACAATTTTGAGAGAACAAAGTGAGGCTGCTATGGTTGGTAGGCAACGTAAGAGTATGACCATAGATTATGAACGTGTTGCTATTTCCCTCACAATTTTAGCATGAGGATATGCATATGCGTCCATTAATTAACTATAGAAACTTTCCCGCAAAAAAAAATTAACTATAGAAACTATAGTAGGTGGTGGTAGTGGAGACGGCGGCGCGCTATCTTAGCAGGTGAGATTATTTGGTCAGTCTTCTATATTGTATTCCCCGTTCATCTAGAAGATAGTACGCTGGCTGAGCTTTCTGACGTGAGGCTAATTTTTCAGTAAATGTTGTCGATCATGCGCACCCTTTTGGAATGGCTGTTGGTAGTGCATGTTTGTTTATCATTAGTTGAGAGTGCTCGCCACCTTTGCCATACGCGGTTGTTACTGGTGCAAGTTAATTGCTTCGTATAGTATCTAAAAGCAAATGCGAGCTTTGCCACGACTGTTTTCTGTGGTCATCGTTGATTTCAACGAACAACAAACCAAGAGTTACTACCCATTGTTGTATTGAACGAACAACAAATTGAGAATTATTAAAACATCATGCATATACAAACATCTCAATTGTTGTTTGTACAGGACCAGGAACAATAACTGATAGTCACATTAAGGAAACATATACCAAACTAGAGGTCAAATAATTTCAAAACTGAAACCAGTAGCACTGTCATCAATAAAACTATAACAAAATAGTGATAGATCAGCTAACCGAACTTTGCTGATCTTAAATAAAAAAACGCCTTCCTTTCTCTCTAGCCAAGTAAGGTTTGAAGAAAATTTCCACCGTTGCAAAATGGCCAGGTATCTTTTGTGGAATGAATCGTTACACCAACGGCAATGCATACAAATACAAATTTCATGTACCAAATCATGCATGGACAGGGAAATCAGATTATCGACGAAGCTGTGAAAAAATGTGTTTCCATTCGGATCAAGGAACGTACTACAAATGGTCGGGTCACCTTCTGGCCCACCTGCCCCATCACATTCAACGTCAGGTGCTGCCCAACGTGTAACACATAGCTCCTCTATGCCACATCCACCATGTCCACCCCCCTCGTAGAACCATCATGGGCATGCCATCTTCTTGCTCTCCAGGAACGATGGCCAGATCTGAACGATTTGAGAAAGAGAAGATATAGGAGATTGGGGATGGGAAAGGAGGGAAGAGCCTAGATCAATTTCTTCAATGTAGAATTTTCGCGTGGAGGGGATGACGACATGACCCACATTGACGCGGAATGGACACAAAAAAGTGAAATTTGCTACGACTTTTTTTTTGTGAGAATATGCGACTTAACACTCACCAGCTGGGTGAGCTGGGTCCACCGCGAGGAATGCTGAGCTCCCTATTTCCCTGAAGCTTATGTATTGTAGGGATATAATGCAGCGTCAGCCGGTGTAATCCATGTCCGAGCCTAGGCTCATCTGCACCCATTGTAAATTTGAAAAACACAGCAAATTTTTATTAAAAAAATATCTATTTTGGCATAGAAGATGCTAAGCTAGGTGCATGCAAAATTTCATGGTAAAAAAAGAGAAGCTCTCAGAAAAAAAAGAGACAAAATCAGCTCTCAACAGTGTTTTTCAAAGTTTAATTGAGACTTGAAATTTGTGCTTTTTTTCTAAGAGCTCCTCAAATGTTCATTCACCATGAAATTTTGCTTTGACCTAGCGCACTAGAGCATCTTCGATATCATGGTCTCATGGAGTACTACTTTTTGAAAATTTACTGTTCACACGCAGGCGCGGATGCACCCGGACACTGAATCGTCTTTATCTTTGTTGAAAAAAAAGTAGTGTCCTTTCCTTTCTTCTCATTATACCAACCACGTCCTCTGTCCATGATAAATAAGCATCCGACTCGCAAACCACAGCGCAAAACTCTCCATCTCCGATCCAGCCATCCACACCCTCCCAGAGTCCAGCAAATCAACAAGCAGGAATGCAGGGCGCGACGCAGCTTATGACCATCGCCGGGCGGCTGGTTGGCGAGGAGTACCAGCAGCTCCGCCGCGTTGGTGGAAAGGTGGCTGAGCTCAGCGACGAGCTGGACACCATGAACGCCATCCTCCGCATGCTGTCCGACGCCGACGAGAGCGCCGTGGACCACTTCATCCGGGTGTGGATGAAGCAGGTGCAGGAGCTCGCCTACGACGCGGAGGACTGCGTGCACCTCTACATCTTCCGCATCCGGTGCCGGCGGAGAGACGGCCTCCTTGTCTGGTCCAAAACCAAACGTATTGTCGCGACACTCTTCCCTCGTCGCCGACTGGCTCGTCAGATCAATGCGCTCCGCGCTCGTGCCGTCGTGATCAGCGAGCGCCATGCGCGTTACGGTGTCAGCCGTGAGGCACTGCTGCGAATCACCACTTCTTCTTTAGCTGCTCCCGCGCCAGTGTCTGGTCATGCGCTCGGCCGGCCGGAAGCAAACGACCCTCACCATCTCGTTGGCATCACGGATCAGGCTAACACCCTGGCCGACATGGTGAAGTCAATGAGTAACAACGAGCGCGACATGAAGCTCAAGGTGTTCTCTATCGTGGGGTTTGGAGGGCCAGGGAAGACTACGCTGGCGATGGAGGTGTGCCGGCACCTGGAGGCGGATTTTCAACGCCAAGCGCAAGTGTCAGTGTCCCAGGCGTTCGGCGGCAGGAAGGATATGGAGGGATTGCTGAAGCGTGTGCTTCAGCAGATCGTGAAGCCAAAAGCAGATAACGCACAAGGCATCAAGGAAGAGGACCCCCTAGATGGCATCGACACTATGGGGGTAGACGAGCTCACCGGCAAGCTCGAGGAACTTCTCATGGACACGAGGTACATATTGAAGAAAACACAAACTATCTAGGAGTAACTTTCTGTCGGCTTTTTTTTTCTCCCTTACCATTATCAGTATGTCAATAAGGATTAATCTCTCTAGTTCTCAAGTTAATCAATGGAAGAACAAGAAATGTGCCTCTCGTCTGGTGGAGTAAATAAATAGCATAAAACTACTACAATACGGGCTCCCCCGCCCCCGCCCCCGCGTCGCTCCAACAGGGGCGACACGGGCGGCTAACCCTAGCCGCCGCCGGCAGTCCCCCTCCCCCTTCCTCTCCTCCTCGTCGCCACTAGAGGAGCCGCCGTTGTGTCGCACGGCTGCCGAGGAAGGTGGCGGCGAGGCCTTCACCGTCCCTTCGCGGAGATCTGGATCCACGGGGCGGCGGCCCCTGCTGGTTCAGCGCCGCCGTTCGCGCTCTGGACGGTGTGCGCGGGGACTCTGCCCGGCGTCCTCGACCGCTCGGGTGGTGGGGAGTCGGCGCTTGGCGGCGGCAGTTCGGGGGCCTTCGTCCTCGCCAGATCTGGAGGCCTGCTACTCCCTCCTTCCCGCTCCTTCCCCTTTGCGCTTGTGGCCGGTGGATGCTGCTGGTTCCGGTGCTTTTGGGGATGGTGGTGCAGATTGGGACCGGGGGAAACCCTAGGCCGGCTGGTTCGGCTTGACAGCGGCGTCGGTTTCGGGCAACGCATCCTTCCTGAAGGCAGTGTCGTGGTCCTTATTCTTGTCACCTCCGGTCCTCTCCCGGGTGAAAACCCAAAATCCGGTCTGGATTGGGCAGCGGTGGCGCCATGGGCGTCATCCCCTCCTTGGAGGCGTTGCCTGGGGAGCTAGGATTCGGGTGTGGGCACATGAAGGTGGGGGCTTTGGCTGCCGGCTGGATTTCTGCAGTTGCTCGCGGCGGCTTTCTTGTTGTGCAGAGTGCCCCTTGTATCTTTAGGGTGTTTCCTGTTTTTGGTGTTCGCGTCGGAGGAGCGGCGTGGCATCTGGTACGTCGACAACGGCGAGTCTCGGCGGCCTGGAGCAGTAGGGGTATCGCCGGTGGGCATGTGATGATGGACAAGCGCAGGATGGTGGCGTTGTCTGGCGTCGTGGTGGCGTCGATGGCAGAGAGGCCTGGCACGGTTCATGCAACAGTACAGCTCTGAAGATGGATTGATGGTACGTGGCTGCGGCGGCCTCATACCCGGCAGAGGGCCTGGTTGAAGAGCACGCCGAACTGGTGGGTGCCCATACCCGGAAGGAGTCCTGGTTGGGACCTCAGGTCTCAGACGTTAGGTTTGGCTGCGAGGTCTGTTTGGTATGAGGCCCAGACCATCAGCGCCCCTTCATCAGTTAGATAGGAGTAGCGACAGAGGTTGCGAAGATGGTGGCTTTGGTCTTACTGTTGTACGACTTTGTAAGGTCTTGTGTTATAATCAATAAAGTGGCCGTATGCATCGTCCAGATGCAGAGGCCGGGGATATTCCTCCTTTTTGAAAAACAGAAAAAAAAAACTACAATACGGGCTAAGGTTTCAAAAAATATCGTTTTTTAATTTCTCTTGGATAACTACCAAGTGAGAGGTTGGTTGTTTTAAAAATCCCTAATCATAGAGTGCTTTAGAATTGATCGCGATTATGACAATTGGGACCCGCATGTAAAAAACATGTTTGTTTGACTATTACTTTACATGTGGGGCCCAAATGTCAGTGTCCCTTTGTCATATCCTAATAAAATATCTGTTCTTTTATACATTGACAGATAACCCCTGTAAATTTCAAAAAAAAAAACGGTCCCTTAATGTTTTTAGAACAAGCAACCGGGCTCTTGAGGATCATTCGTGTGCACCCTGAGAAACGGCACCGGCAGCTCGCCAGTGGCCTGGTCGCCGGCCAGGAGAAAGGAGGCAGCTCGGCCACCGCGTTCCTCGGCGCAAGGCGGGCGATAGACTGGGTGGCAGAGGTCCCTGCCGACCATTGTCGCTGCTCCTGGCCATGGCGCGCGGTGGCTGTGCTCCTGTGCGCGGCAGCCCGAGTCCCTGGCCATGGCGCGGCTGGCGGCGTCCCTTGCTCCTAGGCGCTGCGTCCTGGCCATGGCACACGGATGGCAGTGGCCCGTGCTCCTGCGCTGCAACTGCTCCTTCGTGCGGCCTTCGTTCCCACAGTCGACCTTGTCTAAGCATGCGACGAATGGTAGAGGTGGCCGTCGGTGGGTGGGGATAGTCGGGCAGGGGGGGGAGGAAGAAGAAAGAGCCAGAGGAGAGAAGAGAAGATAGAGGAAGAAGAGACAACTTACACATGGGTCCCACATGTAAGGTAACGATCAAACAAACGGATTGTTTAAAAGTAGGCCTGACCTGTCATAAAACGGTTGAAATCGCTAGCAACGAGTGTTTTGGATTTTTTTAAAACAGCCAACCCTAACTTGATAGTTATCAGCATAGTTTTGTGGAACCATAGCGAATTGTAGTAGTTTTATACTATTTACTCCATCCGGTGGGATCTACATTCGAGTAAAGATTAACCCTGGCTAACTAGAAAAAAAATGAAGTAGATTGCCTACTCAGTTTGATAGGACCAATCTATTCAAGTTTATCACATGTTCAAGATAATGGTACTCTCTCCGTACCATCATTTTGGCACTAGATTTGCTCGACAGACGATCCCAAATCACCCCCCTGAAGTGAAAGGTGAGCTCTCGCAAGAATGCCAACTTTATCAATGGATCCGTGTACCTCGGAGTATTGTTTTTTACTGGAGGTGCTTCCGGGCCCCATTCAAAAGATTGAAAAGGGTATTTTGATCCATCTACGTAAATTAATAGAGTTATTAAGAAACTAGTCTTTTAATCGATGCGGTGATTAATTAAGGGAGGATCGGCACGAGCGCTTGGGCGCTTGGACGCGGACGCCTTGGGCGTAGTACGCGTCCGACAGTTCCTCGAAGAGCTCCGGGGGTCAATTGAATCATAGCCAGTTTCTCTTACTCTTTAGAGCATCTACAGCGGAACGCCTCAAACCCATCTTATACTTTTGGACGGGTCGTCCAATAACTATTTGGTCACGATTTTTTGACCAAGACGACCACTCAAATGGCCCTCAAATGACAGTTCCTGGAAGAGCTCCGGCGGTCAATTGAATCATAGCCAGTTTCTTTTACTCTTTAGAGCATCTACAACCAGGCGCCTCAAACCCGTCTCATACGTTTGGATGGGCCGCCCGATCACTGTCCGGTCACAATTTTTTGACCCAGACGGGCCCTTAAATGGCCCTCAAACGCCTGGGCTGACCGGCACCCTCATATTCAGCCTAAATATGAGGCAGATATGGGGGGCGCCCGGCACGCCCGCCACGTCGGATCCGGCCCATGCTGGCCCACCTGACCCCATATAAAATCCTCCCCATCCGCTCGTCGGATCAAACCTTAGCCACTTCACTCCCCTCCACTCCACTCTCCTCCGCCACCCAAGCTCGTCTCCGGCATGGCAGGCAGTGGATCCGAGTTCTTCACCTCCAGATCCGTCGACCCCGAGGTCATCCCACGCGGCCCGGAGGAGGAGATGGTCGTCCGGCTTGCGCTCCGCCGTGCCCGGGAGGAGGCCTGTGGACAGCTGCGCTCGGACTTCATCCATCCGGAATCCATTACGTCTGCCCAAATGGGGCATGTATCCGGCGCTAGGCCGGCCGTAGCTGCCCCGCCGGAGGCCGTGCAGTCCATCTGGCATCCGAAACACGCTGGCAGACGCGCAACCCCTCCGGTGGCGCGCCGATATTAGGGACGCACCATCGTCCCACGAGGCTATGGCGGACGTTGGCGCATCAGTCCGGACGCTGCAACCGCATCGTGGTGGACGTCTGCGGCTCATCCCCGGAGGGATCCATCATTGATCTGACATCCACCGGCACCGTTTGGGTTCCGGTCTCCGATGAGGAAGAGTAGGGCATGGGAGACGGTGGCGCCTTGAGTCCCGTGAGCCGGCTCGTGTCCCATGCCCTACCTTACCTTACCGACGATCGGACCAACACTCTGAGGGGCGCAGGCAGCCGACGGACATGGCCAGGGCGGGAGGGAGCGGAACCGATTGAAGCTCCCGTCAAAGATGGTTGCGTCGTATGTAATAATATGGATTTGAGGTTCTAATTTGAGGTATCCGGATGTGAAATGTGTTTTTTGAAGGGTGACCGATCACTAGCCGTGGACGCGTCTGGGCGCATCTGCAGGCGTTTGAGGAGTCAGATTTACCATGTCCGGCTATAGATGCTCTTATGTTTTCGTTCCCAGCCAACCGTCTCATGAAAAGTCGAGCAGGAGCAATCTATTTTTACAGTAAATTCCTCTTAGAATAGCATATCACTCTTTATAGGTTTAGTATATTGCTATCTTGAGCCTAATGAGTGTAATACCTAAAGCGAGTAATAGAGAGGAAAGACGACACGGGCTTTTGGCATTTTTTGGTCTGTGTAACTACCGAACTTGGATATTCGCATCATGCACTACCGAAACAACCCATGATGCCGACGGCCTGCGGCAGTCGGCATACACCCCTTTACCATCGGCATAGGCATAAGCCGATGGCAGCCATCGGCTTAGACCCGTCGACATAGATTACGTCAGCGTAGTCTTGTCAGACCGTCGGCATAGATATGCCATCGGCATAGAGACCTTTGCCGATGCCTTCCGTACAGTCGTCGGTATAGATTGACTGTCGGCGCGGATTTTCATGAGACAGCAGTTGATGGCACCATCACCGCGACAGCCCTATCACAAGAGGCCACGTGTCAAGGCTAAGTCGACGGCTCTGGCAGAGATGTAAGCTGACGGCTTGGCTGTCTAGGCCGTCGGCTTAGCCCTGACACATGGCGGCACCTGGTTCACTTGGGCATGGCTATGCCGTCGGTATAGTTATGTTATTTTTTTAACATGCTCTGTTTTTGCCATTTTCATTCAAATTCACAGCAATTAAATACACAAATATGACAAAAACAATATATAGACAGAAATATGACAGATCACCCAACATC